AGGCTCACTTTGTCACCCAGGCTGGAGTACAGCAGCGCAGTCTTGGCTCACTGCAACCTCCGCCTCCCGGGTTCAGGCACACACCACCATACCCGGCTAATTTTTGTATTTTTGTAGAGACAGGGTTTCAACATGTTGGTCAGGTTGTTCTTGAACTCCCGACCTCAGATGATCTGCCCGCCTCAGCCTCCCAAAGTGCTGGGATTACAGGCATGAGTGACCACGCCCAGCCTAATATAACAGACTCTATCTACCTCATTTGTCCTACCTTCTCCAAGTCCTGAAGCCAGCAGACAGAAGCACAGAAAGCATGAAAAGAGGGGACAGATGTAGCATGCTGTTAACATATCAGGGGAAAAAAATGGTGATAAAAACAAATTATATCCTAAGACAAAAGTGGTAAAAATGTCAATTCACACTTTGCTCCATTCATTATTTCACATATAGAAATTATAAGAAATTCCAAGACTATGGAAATGTGAGTATGGGTAAAAAAAAAAAAAAAAAAAAAAAAAAAAAAAAAAAAAAAAAAAAAAAAAAAAAAAAAAAAAAAAAAAAAAACAAAGGCATTAGAATTCATGGTATAGTGGAGGGAACTTAAGACCTTGGACGTTTGATGTTTCAGGAGTCTCTGAAGCTTTTGAGGAAGGGGCTGAAGGTCTTTGGTCTCTAGAGCAAGGGGTGACACAGTACAGGTTCATATAGTAAATATTTTAGGCTTTGTGAACCATACAGTCTGTCACAACTATTCAACTCTACTACTGTATCCCAAAAGTCAGCCATAAACAATGAATTAAAAAATGGACATGGCTGTGTCCCAATGAAACTTTATTTACAATAATAGGCTGTAGTTTCCCAACTCAAGATCTACTTGGCCCAACCACTATTAAAAGCTTATCATATTTGTCAAATTTACTTTTTACTTCCAGTCCTATCTACTGCCCAACTCAACCAGAGGAAGTTATCGCCCCATAAAAGGCATCTGTGGTCATCACTGTGACTTGGAGGCACTAGTGGCAGAGGGTCAGAGATGTTAACGTTCTCCAAGGCAAAGAGCAAGGCTGCACAATAAAGCCATCTTGTTCTCAGCAATTTTCCCCAAAATACCACTGGCACATATCCCATCCCAACCCCACAAAGCTGCTTATGTTCCTAAGCTTAAGTTGTCCCAAGTACAAAATAAACTAAGAGGTTCAAGGTGACAATGAGCATCACTAGTTATTTCTTTTTATTAGGCAGGTATACATGTGTGCATATACATACAAACACACATATACACACACATGCAAACACAGGCTCTCAAATTTGAGAAAAAAGAAAAATGTTCTCTCTTCTCCACTGCACTGCCTTTTATTTTGAAAACATAACCACTGCTGCCAGCAGAGGCATCATTCAATGAAATGTGCCTTGTTGCCAACAAAGCATATAAAGGTTTAAAGGAACAACTGAGCTGTTTTCCACTGGCTAAACACAGCAAGAAATGGTGGGCATTTACTTCACTATCATCAGCTTGTTCAATTCTTCCCCCTTCTCATTTCTCTTTGGTTTACTTCTCTTGGCCTGCAAACAAAGGGTGGCACCACTTAGTTCCTCCATTTTTAGATCACAGGAAATTTGGCACCGAACAAATCAATAGTCTCTCATAACTTCTACAGCATATCTCTTAATTCAACTTCACTTTGGAACAGACTGAACAGACACAGCCCTACTGCAGCTGTTGGATAGGAAGCATTAAAAGATAAAAACTTGGTTTAAAGTCACTGTGGTTAATAAATGACTAAAGTCTGATTCCGCCAGTTTAAGGACAACCTCAACAGTATGCAACTGAACTAGCACAAGGAAGGAAGCAAAGGGAACAGTTCCATGGGCTACAATAGGGCAGGATGAGATAATTCCCTACACTGAGGTAAAGAACAGCTGGCAATCAAGCTAAATAAGTTAGATAGTACACTCATTTACCAGATAGAAATGTCACAGTGTTTAGCTACTTTACTCCCAATTACATTTCTAATTTATTATGGCTTTAAATTTAATGAGCTATATAGTTAACAGCTTATTCACTTTATAAATATTTACTGGGCCCCTACTCTGGAACAGGTAGAATTCTTTTAATAAGTACTAAGGATACAACATTCAACAAGATATAAAAGGTCCCTGTTATCCT